CCAGTTTTCTTCAGGTAATTTCAAGTAGAATAAGCGCTATTTTATATAGTGTAGCACACCAGCCGCAAGGATTACAAATCAAAATTACATAGAAAAAATAAAAGAGTGTACTCATGTGAGAGAAACAAAATTTAAGCTGAGCATGTAGCCTGTAATCCCGGTAACTCTGAAGGCTGAGACAGGAGAATTTAAGTTCAATAACAGCCTAGGCAACTTAGAGAGACCTTGCCTCAAAATGAAAAATGGAAAAAAAAAAAAGAAGAGTGGATATATAGCTCAATGGTAGAGTGCTCCAGTTCCCAATATTACCAAAAAAAAAAAAAAAGGAGGAAATTTGGCAAGTAAGGGGGTGACTGCAATACTTTTCATGTTCCATAGCAGCATTACATTTTATTGGCAGTTAATAAATAAACCTTTGGTATAGCCATTATGGAGAACAGTGGAAATTACTCAAAAAATTAAATATAATAGAACTACCATATGATCCAGCAATCTTACTACTGGGTTTGTATCCAAAGGAAATAAAATCGCCATACTGAAGAGAGATTTGTACTCTCATGTTCGCTGCAGCATTATTCACAAAGGCCAAGATAAGAAATAACCTAAGTGCCCATGAAAGATCAATGAATAAAGAAAATGTGTGTGTGTGTGTGTGTGTGTGTGTGTATGTGTAAGCAAATATTATTCAGCTTTGAAAAAGAATGAAGTCCTATCACTTGTGACAACATGGATGAACCTGGAGGACTTGTTAAGTAAAATAAGCCAGACACAGAAAGACATATACTGCATGATCTCACTTATACATGGAATCTGAAAATGCCAAACTCATAGAAACAGAGATTAGAATGGTAGTTATCATTCTAATGGTAACTACTATTGGAATGGTTACCATTCTAATGGGATGGGAGGAGAAAGAAATGGGGAAATGTTGGTCAAAAGATTCACACTTTTAATATAAAAGTATGTTCTAGAAACAGTATGGTGAATAAAGGTAATAATGTGTTGTACACCTGAAATTTACAGAGAAGGTTTCAAATCTTCTGTCTCACACACACAAATGGGCACGCACACACAGACACACACACACACATAACTTGTGAGGTGATGGATATGTTAATGAACTGGACTGTGGTTCACATGCATATGTATTATCAAAAATCATGTGTGCCTTAAAAATAAAATTTTTGTCAATCCCACTTCAATAAAGCTGGTGGGGGGGACAAAACCATTAACATGTTTAAGTGTTATTTTCATTTCATTATGATATTATAATCTTTTTTTTAAAAAAAGGTTAAGATTTTCTTTGCTTCACAAAAGCACAAGTTACATTTCATTCACATAAATAAACATACTCATATTTTTCTTAAAACATGCAGCCTTGGGTGAATTCTTCCTACAGGCAGACTATTCCATTTTTCTTCTTTCTTTCTTTCTAAAGGGAACCACAATCCTAAAGTTGGTATGTATTTGTCTCATCTGTTTTTATAATTTTTCTGAATTTGTATATAACCACTATATACTTTTGTTTGGTTTTAAATTTATATAAATAACACATCCTTTTGCTATTTACCTGCCCTTCCAATGTTGTTTTGAAGATCTATACTAATACATCCAGATCTGTTCATTCCCTTGGCTGTTATGTAATACATCAGAGTAACAATTTATATATACTATTTATTCATCCTATTGTTGGCAGGAATTTAGGCTGTTTCAAATTTCTGCTATTACATGTAATGTGTCAGTCACATGTGCAAGATATCTCTTGGTTTAAAGTAAGTTCAATTTCATTTTTACTTTGTATTTTCTTTTTTTGGGGGGCGGGGGAGGCCGTACTGGGGATTGAACTCAGGGACACTCAACCACTAAGCCACATCCCCAGCTCTATTTTGTATTTTATTTAGAGACAGGGTCTCCCTGAGTTGTTTAGCGCCTTGCTTTTTGCTGAGGCTGGCTTTGAACTTGCCATCCTCCTGCCTCAGCCTCCCAAGCCTCTGGGATTACCAGCTTACTTTGTATTTTCTAGATAATGAAAACTGTTCTCCCAAGTAGTTGTACCAAATCACACTTCTACCAACAGTGTGTGAATATTCCTTTTACATTACCACCACTAACATTTGGTATTTTATAAGACTTTTTAATTTTATAAATCTGATGGGTGTGAAATGATACTTTGTTGATTTCATTTGTAATTTCCTATTTATCAATGAATTTTTTTTCTATGTGTTTATTGGCCATTTGGGTTGCCTCTTTTTTTGTTTCAAGACAGGCTCTCAATAAATTGCCCAGGCTGTCCTTGAACTTGCAATCATCCTGAGTTGCTGGAATTACAACTATGCATTACCTTGTCCAACTAGGTTTCCTCTTTTGATAACTATCCATTTTTCTATTTCATCTGTCCTTATATTTTATAAAGCTCTTAATTAAATGAGCTACAAATATTTTGGTATTTTAAAGTTGTTCATGTTATCATTTGTATTACAGAAGTTTACATTTTGACATAGTCAAGTTTATGTTTTACACTTTGTAACTTGCTCAGTGTTAGAACTATTCTCTTATTTTTATTCCAAATAATTCCAAAGTTTTGCTTTTCATATTTAGGATCCCTAGAAATAAATTTTATATAAAGTGTGAGATAGATCCAACTATTTTTTAAAATGGTTAACAATTATATAAACACAATTTAATGAATATTTTGCTCTTTCCCATTTATGTAAAAGACCACTTACAAAAATTTCACAAACACACACATCTGCATTGCTTCTAGGTACTTTTTTGCTTTATTAACCTGTCTGTCCCTACACTTAAATCACTGTGACATACTGTTAGAATTTTCTAACAAGTAGGGCAATCCTTTGTTTTTCTTTAAAATAGTACTGGCTATTCTTGGTCATTTATTCTTTTAAAAAATATTTATACTTGTTTATATATATGTGTGTGTGCGCGTGTGTGTGTAATTATTTATTTATTTAATTTATTTATTTTTATTTTTAGTTGTTGATAGGACTTTATTTTTATTTATTTGTATATGTTGCTGAGAATCGAACCCAGTGCCTCACAATGCTAGGCAAGTGCTCTACCACTGAGCTATAATCCCAGCCCCAAATTACTCTTTCTTATTAATTTTAATATCAATTCAATCAAACCTCATATCCTATTGGGATTTTAATTAAAATTGCATTTAATTTTGGGAGAACTAACATTTTAGGATTTCTCAAAAGGCTCAATCGATTTCATTTATTTAGATTTTTCTCTTGTCTTTTAACATTTATTCCTGGACATCTGCTTTTCATTCCAAATTCTTGATCTCATAACACTGTTAAATCTCAGCTAAGACATCACTTACTTCTACAAATACTTCTGACTTTTCAGACTCATTGGAATGCTCCTCCTTCATGCTCATGGATTTATTTATTCTTTTTTTTTCTGAATGTGACCAAGAGTTACACTAGGCATGGAAGGTACACTGGGGAATAAGATGGACAGTGCCTAGTTAAAGGGGCTCTCATTCTAACTGGAGACACAGAAAAATAAACACTTTCAATTCAGGGTGACACATGCCAGTACAGGGGAAGTATACTGTGCTATGGGAATACATAAGAGAAATACCTAACTCAGACTTGGGGGATGGCTGGATGGGGGGAGAAGGGTGTCTGTCAAACAACGCTTCTCAAGGAAGTAACATGTAGATTGAAACCTGTAAGAAGAACAGAAATTAGAAAACATGACAGTAACTAAATCATAGTAATGATATCCTTGTCTTGCTCTTGACTTTACTGAAAAAGCTCTCATTGTTTAACTTTAAATCATCTATTTTTGAACATATTCTATTTCTTGGCTTCTTAGCACTATTTTTGGCTCTCATACACTCTGTAATAATCATTACTTGTTTAGTGGTTCTAATTCACTCCTTAAATATTGCTATCCCCCATGGTCTCACCCTTCTCTTTCCTGTTTAGATTTAATCAAATCACTATCCCTAGAGACTTTTCCCACTTCTGTTTTAAATATAAATTTAGATTCAGAGGACTCAAGATATTTCCTTAATTTTAGCTCCTACCACTACAGATTTTCTGACCTAAATTTATAACTACATACTACATGTCTCTATCCATATGTTCCATAGAATTATTATGCTATGAACATGTTAACATGCAATCTATCTACATATGGTGTATACTGCCAACTAACCAGCACCAGCAGATCTATCTTCCATATTCAGTGGACAGCACTGGCATTCATGCCTTCAGAGTCATTAATCTGAATGTGTGTTAGAGGGTATCCCCTTCTTGGAAATCAGTTTATGATAGAGCACAGTCACTGCATTCAAAGGTTGTTTCAAGGATTAAATAATCACAGAAATTTTTAGGCCAAGTATTGTTGCTTTTTTTTTTTAATGTGTCACATTTGGCTAGGCTACTATTTGCCATTTATTCAATAAAATACTAATGTGTTGTATGAAGCCTACTTTGTAGATGTAATTAAAGTCCATCATCAATTGACTTAAGTAAGGGAGATTATTCTGGATAATGTGGATGGGCCTGATTCAATTAGTTGAAATGAATTAAAAGCAGGGTTGGGGCTTCCCCAAAACAGAGAACAAAAATCACCTATAGAAAATAGCTTCAGACTGTGTCCAAGATTTCTAGCCTGCCTTTCCTGACAGCCTGCCCTAAGACTTCAGACTGGTTTTACTGGCCCCTACAACTACAGAAACCAAATCTCTACAAATCTACTACTGGTTCTGCTTCTCCAGTCGAATCTTGATTAATATACCAAGTTTGTAGTCTACTTGCAAAGGGAATTCCTTCAAAAACCTAGTAAAATTTCTAATCCTTGTTTCTCATTATTTCCATGTACCAGTAATTATACCCAAAGATTTTTTTCTGGACATGGTTCTTAAATCTATTTTTTGTTTTGCTTTTAGCTTAATCCTTGGAATTTTCTCCTTCCTCTCCATCCCACATCAGACCATCACCATCTCTTACCTGAACTAGTGATTGAAAAGCCTCCTAACTGGCTTCTCAGATTAGTTTTTTTCTCCTCTATCTATTCTCCACACTGCTGCCAGAGGTCTCTTTCTGGAAAACAAATATGATCATGTCACTATCCTTCTTAAGAATCTTTGAAGTCTCCCTACTTAAAGGAAATAAGTTTTACCCCCCTCATTGGTTTCTATTTTTAGCTTTTATTTTCTTCTATTCTCTTTGAGTTTAATTTTCTGTTATTTTTCTAACTGTTGAGATGAATACTCAGGTCACTGATGCTTTTCTTTTTTTTTGTAATAGGCATTTAAAGTTCTAAATTCTCTCTAAGCATTGTTTTAGTCAATTATGCCAGTTCTGATGTGTACTGTTAATCACTCAATTTGAAATTCAAATTTCTTTTGTGATTTCTTTGATAGATTATTTAGAAATTATTCTTAAAAATTTCCAAAGCTAGACTTCATGTTCCAGTAGGAACATAATAGCAATTTCCAAATTTCCCCATCTTTCTCCTAGGACCTGTGTAGAGCAACAAAGAGAAAGTTAAGAACAAAACAAAACAAACCCATATATCTTCAGTAAAACTAGAAGATAATAAAAAGCAGAAAATACCAAATCATAAGTAAACATGGCCCAAAGTACCCGGGACTACTAGAACCTATGCAAGAAGCCACATCTGAGCATGGGAGAATGACAAAAAGTATAAAATAGTGGGGGAATAGCAAATTTTCACTCCCCCCAAAAAAGGTTCCTCTCTTAAGTCAGAATTGCAACATTTATAATTGAGACTGGATCAGGGAAATCTCAGAAGCAACTAGAGAAGGAGATATAGAAAGTGTCATGAGAGTAAGTGGAGGGAAAAGTTTCAGTCTCAGAAAAAAACTACTCTTCTAAAAGTGAGGCATGCATTTTTCTTTCAAACTTACAGGAAAGTTGTATAAAAACTTGTATATAATTTCCCAAATTCTCGAATTGTTAACATACAAAGCAAGAAATTTAGAAGGCAGAAGTCATATCTTTTGGTAGTAGAAGCTATAAGAACCTGTGGGAACTCAAGGCTGATAGTTCACACTACTTAAATCACTTAAGTTAGAGAGGCCCAGAAGATGTGGCTATACTTTGAAGAATGAATCCACTGGCACAAAGAGGACAGAAGTTTTGAGCAGAGAAACCAGGAAAACTATCTTGCACCTAAGATGCAACTAATGTTCTTGGCATACCTGTAATTTCCCTCTTAATAGGTAGTTTGAAAGAATGCATCTTGATCAAATATGAACAACAAAAACCCAGTATGTATCTACACAAAGATACCAGGTAAAAATTGTGTGTGGGGGGGAAAGGGCAGTGTAACATCTTTAACAACAACAACAAAAAACAGACGATATCACAAAATAGATGAAAATACAACCCTACTTTTTAACATGTGTTCAAAAATGCATAATGCAGTTAAAATGCACAGCAAAACTCAGCAAAGAAATGGAAGAAAAAGATTTTTTTAATTCAAAAATAAAAATTAAACTGCCACAAACACTTGGTAAAGTATACACATTGGATGGAAATTTTTAAAGTGAAAATAAGCTGATATTTATTTTTTTAAAAAAGATATGACTTGTACCTACCTATATTTTCAAAGGGAATCTCATATTCTAAATAAAATTGACTCCACATGGCCAACTAAGTAAAAAATATCTAATAAAAGAGTAGGAAAAAATACTTTTAGCAACCAGACAAAAAACAAATCCCTAAAGTCAAGCTCCGCGGCATGTGCCTGAAATCCACTATTTAGGAGACTAAGGCAGGAAGATCATGAGTTCAAGACCATCCCTGGGTGCAACTCAGCAAGATACTGTCTTAAAAAGGGAAAATAAAACAAAACAAAACAAACAAACAGATCCCTTTTCTTTGGTACTAGGAACTGAACACAGGGGAGCTTAACCACTGGGTTATATCCCTAGCCCTTTTTATTTTTTGAGACAGGGTCTCATGAAATTGCTTAGGGCCTTGCAAAGTTGCCGAGACTGGCTTTGAACTTGAGATCCTCCTGCCTCAGCCTCCTGAGTTACTGGGATTACTTAAAGCTGAACTCTTCTAAGAAAAAAAAAGTACACCAGCATCATTCTTCTCTAACTGGGCATTCAATGTCAGAAGACAGTGGATAATTTTCCAAAAGACACTCAAGGAAAGAAAGTGTGAGTCAGTAATTTTGTATTTAGCCAAACAGTCTTTCATAAATAAGGCTACTGACCCTGCAAAATCTCAGCATTTATCCATATGAAACCTTCTTAAAGAAACAACTTGAGGACAAACTGAAACCACTGAACAACAGGAAAAATTTCAGCAAAAGGACTGATAGTGAGCACCAATACATTAATTGTAGATTTAAGATGAAAACAAATATATGTACTGATGACAGAATGGAATGCAACTGTTATGTACTCTAAGAATGAGATAATATATACAAAATAAATGACTGATAGAAGTAGAAAATAAAGTAGAATAAATTCAACAACTGTACCTTATGTGTAACAGGATTCAAAGTTGAAAACCAAATACTATAAATTTAAGCAAAATTAAAGAATTAAATCCCAAGGGGTAAATAAACAAGCTAATAACTAGCCTAAAACTAGTTAATAAAGAGAAATAATGTTATTCGTTAAGGGAAACAAAAGACTATTTTAAAAAAAGAAAAGAAGGTAAGTATCCCATAAGGGCACAAAGGTAACCGTAAGGTGGGGGGAAACTTCTAGTATTAGAACTATCATCTAAAAAGCACAGAAAATATACCATATAGAGATTAAAAAACATATACAATTAGAAAAAAATGACATAAAACAATTTGACAAAATCAAGACCTTTTTATTTATCTGGCTTCCTTTGTCCATTAAATAGAAAAAAAAAAAAAAAAAAAAAAGCAGCAGCAGCTTTAAAGCTTTAAGATACCATAAACCAAAACTATTCTGTTGTCATCAATATAAATCTATGGATTGGGACACAGCTTAGTGGTAGAGCATTTGCCCAGCCACTGCTGGTTTTGATTCCCACCACTGCAAAGTAAGGTTAAAAAATAAACACACACACACACACACACACACACACACACACAACTGCCTAAAAAGATATGTCTTGCTTAAATTCCTCAATATAATCTGATAAGAAAAATATCAGAGGTATAAATTCCTGAAAGAAGAGATAAACCTATCACTAGTTGCAGATAATAACTATAATCTAGAAATTCAAAGAAAATCACTTGGAAAAAAATACTATATAATGGAATTCAATAAGATGAAGATTAAAAAGTACACAGAAATTAATAAGACTTCATGTATATAAATCATAAGTTACAATCTATAAACCTATTTAATAGCAATAAAGACAAAAAATATCGAGAGATAATAAGAAATGTACAAAATTTAACTGAGGAAATCTTTAAAACTCTCCTGAAGGAAATAGAAAGATATATGTTCTTGAACACAAGGACTCAACATCTTAAAGATGCCAATTTAGACTAACTTAATTAATAAAATAATGAAATCTCAATAAAAATAACAACTGTGCTTTCCTCATCTATACAAGGCATTGATTGATTGATTGATTGATTGGTACTGGGGATTAAACTCAGGGGGCACTCAACCACTGAGCCACATCCCCAGCCCTATTTTTGTATTTTATTTGGTCTCACTGAGTTGCTTAGCGCCTTGCCATTGCTGAGGCTCACTTTGAACTCACAATTCTCTTGTCTCAGCCTCCCAAGCCACTTGGATTACAGGAATGCACCACTGTGCCCAGCTTATACAACATATTTATAAAGGCTGTGTGGTAAAATAGGTAAAAATGGTCTTGAAAACCCTGAAAAGAGAAAATGAGACCGGCTCTATCAGATACTCAAAGTCATAAAAATGGACTATGGATATAGCTCAATGGTAGAGTACTGGCCCAGCATGTTTGAGGCCGTGAATTCACTCTCCAGGACTAGGGGAAGAACTATTTTAAGAGACATGATTGATCAGTAAGTATTGGTGTGCACATGTGTACCAAAAGGGAAAAAACAACAACAAAAAACTCCACCATGGGGCTGGGGTTGTGGCTCAGCGGTAGAGCACTCACCTCTCACATGTGAGACCCTGGGTTCGATCCTCAGCACCACATAAAAATAAATAAACAAAAAATAAAGATATTGTGCCCATGTATAACTAAAATAATTTAAAAAAAACCCACCACCACACCAAAGACAAGCTAGCTACAATATATGCAACTTGTATTACAAAGAGTTAATCTGCTTGATTTATAAAGCACTCTCAGTAAATGAGAAGAAAAAGTCCAACAGAAAAGAAGGGTAAAAGACCAATAATCAGTTCATTAAAAAAGAAATATAAGGGCTGGGGCTGTGGCTCAGTGGTAGAGCGCTAGCCTAGCACATGAGAGACCCTGGGTTTGATCCTCAGCACCACATAAAACTAGATAAATAAAAAGAAACATAAGATCAGTGTTACAGCATTTACCTAGCATGAACAAAGCCCTGGGTTCAATTACCAGCACTAAAAAAAAAAAAAAGAAAAGCGAAGAAAAGAAACACAAGTGGCCTTATATAAGTGAAAAGGTGATCAAATACAAATGAAAAGTACAGAAGGAAATTATTTCTTACAAATCTGACAAAATTTATCTAGTGGCAAAGTATAAGAAAGCAGGTACTCTCACTCACTGATGCAAAATATTTACAACCTCTGGAGGGCAATCTGGCAATAACGATTGAAATTACAAATACATTTACCCTTGACCCTTCAATCTTACCACTAGAAATTTATCTTAAGATACATCTAAATATATATGAAAAGATGTTCTGAAATGGCAAATGATTAAAAACAGTCCTATTATACATCTAAAGGAGACTGGTTAAACATTTCCTTTCTCATTATTTTTATAATGGCAGACAATACTGAAATAAATTAGGAAACTCTACCCATCTGGAAAGATCAAGAATCCTTGGAGGAATGGCTAAGTCCAGGGACTGGGCAGGAAACACAAGATGAGCCTGGAAGATTCTGCTGTGCCACAAAGCTAATAAACACAAATCAATTATCAATAGGACACCATACTTTTCCACATAAGAATAACAAAATTAGAAAAATTAACAGTTGGTAATATCTAGTGAAATAAATGATTTGGGGAACTACCATCAATGAATAAAAAGTAACTGAAAGGCTCTTTGGGAAATTTACAGTGGCTAGATCTCTGAACCTACTGATTAATGTGATTAATCTATAGATTAATCTTAGCATCACTAAATTAGGATCACTAGTACTGTAGGTCTTCAAGCATGACATATTATGAAGCATTTTTGAAATATTATGAACCAAAATTGAATTAAACTTTCATGTCTTTTATTTTCAGGAAATATGGGGGATAGAGGAACAAGGTAATTAATTACTCAAGAAAACAAAAAGACAAACTCAGATTTGGGGATAGTCTACAGGACAAGTGATCAAGTTTCTGCAACAAGTCCATGACATTAAAAAAGAAAAAGAAAAAAACCCAAACACAAAAGAGAAGGAAATGGGACTATAAAAAATGCATAATAAGCAAAAGTGATGTGTGGATCTTGTTTGAATTCTGATTAGAATCAACTAACTAAGCCGGGCACCATGCCACACACCTGTAATCACAGCAGCTTGGGAGGATGAGGCAGGAGGATTGAAAGTTCAAAGCCAGTTTCAGCAACTTAGCAAGGCCCTGTCTATAAATAAATTATAAAAAGGGCTGGAGATGTGGCTCAGTGGTTAAATGATGCTGGGTTCAATCCCCAGTATCAAATTAGAAAAAGAAAAAGAAAAAAGATCAACTAACTAGAAAAAGATGTATTTGAGACAATTAGGGAAATTTGATCTAAGACATGATATTAGAGAGTACAAAACAATGATTATTTTTCATATATGAAAATAACATTTTTTGCTATATAATATTCAAATTTGCAGAGGTATTTAGTGTAGGCAAAATAATATGCTGTTCAGAATCTGATTTAAAACTTCACAGTATAGGAAGAAATGGAGATAGATTAAGCAAAAATAGAAAAATCCTGACAATCTGAATAATAGTTACATATATATAGCAGTTTATCATGATGTTCACTTGACTTTTATATAAACTTGAAAATGTTTCTAAGAGTTGGGCATAGAAGTACACATCTGTAATCCCAGTAAACTCAGGAGGATGAGTTCAAGGCCAGCCTGGGCAACTTAGTAAGATCCTATCTCAAAATAAAAAGTTAAAAAAGGACTGGGGATGTAGCTCAGTGGAACACTGTCTGTGGGTTCCATCCCCAGGACCCCCTCAAATGAAAAGAAAAGATTTGTAAGAGAACACCTTAAAAATGAGAATGCAATTAGAAACACATTATGTACCACACCTAGGGTCACCAAAACCAACAGATTTTCTTTAATATATGTATTTTATAATAAAATGTTATCAAAGAGTTAAGAGGACAAAGGTGAATTAGTTGTAAGAGAAGACTTCTCAGATGATCGTATCAGGGCTTTTATGCTTGTTTTCATGCATTTGCTTAATGTTAAGTAGCATTCCAGGTCAAGTTCTGCATAAAAACATTTGAAATAAAATGCAACAAAATAAAAAGTTTTCCCAGTTTGTCATAATACATGCCTGAATATTACTTCAAGACACCAGTACATGTAATTATATACATAAAATTTATACACACATGCCATATAGAAATCAACTATCCAATTCAGAATATGGTTTTAGTTCCCTTACCATCGATATTAAGCATCATTTTCCACATGGCAGGTCGAACAGATTGATGGAATCCAAACCATACTTCCCTGCCCCCTCCCAGAGGGTGGTCATATCCTTCTGGAGCTGAGAAAAAGGAACGCCCCACAGGCGTATATCTAAAAAATTAAAATGGTGTGTTCAATACTTTCCTTTCCATGCAAGTATTTAAATCTGCAGAACAGGGGAAACTAAAGCATACACAATTTATCATAATGATGCTTAAAATTATGACTATATTAAACTAAACATTTTTCAAGTTTATGAAAGCAAACATTTTCCAAGTTTGTGAAAGCAAAAAGTAGCCAAATCCATCTGCATCCCTCACTGAAATTCTCCATTCTCATAATCACTAGTTTATGTAACACATTTTATTTAAAATACTTTCTTAAAAACAGGTTAAAAAAGTAAACAGTTCCACTGAGGCAGGAGGATGTCGAGTTCAAAGCCAGCCTCAGCAAATGTGAAGCACTAAGCAACTCAGTGAGACCCTGTCTCTAAATAAAATACAAAATAGGGCTGGGGATGTGGCTCAGTGGTTGAGTGCCCTGGAGTTCAATCCCCGGGACCCCCTTTTCCCCCACAGAAAAAGAAAAAAAAAAAAAAAAAAAAAAAAACTCAACAGTTCCAAACTTAAAATGTAGAGTAAAAATAATAATTGATCAAAAAGCTATGCCTATGTGTTTCAAGACACACTATTTCTATAAAAAGACATATATGACCAATATATGCATATGTCCACATACGTGATTAAAATAGTAGGAATCTCAATACAATCTGATTCTATTCTTTAAATGGTGGAATTACTTTTAAAACAAAGTGACTTAACAATAGGAATATGTCTGAAAATATATCATTTATCCAAGACTTATAGAGGGAGGGTTGGACATTTTTCTATAAAACAATTTACGATCTAAGTGAATGATTGTATATTTATTTGCAAAAGTCAGAGAATTTTCTGTAACACTTTTGTCAAATTTTTATGCATGGTATTCTTATTCAAATGAAATACTAAAAATGTACAACATATGAGAGTTATCTAAGGAAGGTCTGTACAACTCTTAGGAGGAAAAACTTCACATTTAAAATCTAAAGAGGAAAAAAGCCAGAAGCACCCACTTCATGGAGGGCAGATGTCGTAGCACCACATCAACGGCATGAACAGGGTTAGTGCTGATTGGCTTGTCTAATTCCAGTGGCTCAGGCAAGGTCCGTCCTGTCAGTACTTCATGGAGTAGGTGCCAACTCACGCGAGAGACAAATTTGATTGACACCTTGAAAGGTCGATCTTTTCCACCTTCCCCAGGTAAAGTAACATCTAAATCCACCTGTTCATGGGATAAAAGTCAAGTGGTAAATATTTAAAAAGATAATTATAATTATTTAACTTATAAAAATATCTTTTTTTTATTGGTTGTTCAAAACATTATAAAGCTATTGACATATCATATTTCATACATTAGATTCAAGTTGGTTATGAACTCCCAATTTTACCCCAAATACAGATTGCAGAATCACATCGGTTACACATCCACATTTTTACATAATGCCCTATTAGTAACTGTTGTATTCTGCTACCTTTCCTATCCTCTACTATCCCCCCTCCCTCCCCTCCCATCTTCTCTCTCTACCCCATCCACTGTAATTCATTTCTCTCCTTGTTTATTTTCCCATTCCCCTCACAACCTCTTATATGTAATTTTGTATAACAATGAGGGACTCCCTCCATTACCATGCAATTTCCCTTTTCTCTCCCTTTCCATCCCACCTCATGTATCTGTTTAATGTTAATCTTTTCTTCCTGCTCTTCCTCCCTGCTCTGTTCTTAGTTGCTCTCATTATATCAAAGAAGACATTTGGTATTTGTTTTTTAGGGATTGGCTAGCTTCACTAAGCATAATCTGCTCTAGTGCCATCCATTTCCCTGCAAATTCTATGATTTTGTCATTTTTTAGTGCTGCATAATACTCCATGGTGTATAAATGCCACATTTTTTTTATCCATTCATCTATTGAAGGGCATCTGGGTTGGTTCCACCGTCTAGCAATTGTGAATTGTGCTGCTATGAACATCGATGTAGCAGTATCCCTGTAGTACGCTCTTTTAAGGTAAAAAAAAAAAACAGGGTTGGTGTTGGGGCTCAGTGGTAGAGCACTTGACTGACATGTGTGAGGCCCTGGGTTCAATCCTCAGCACCACATATAAATAAATAAATAAAATAAATAAAAGATCCACTGGCAACTTAAAAAAAAAAACAGGCTAAAATAAAAAAATCAACCTCAAATCAAATCAATATACTAAAACTTAAATAACAGAGATTCATGCCAGCATTAATTCAATATTGCAAAATACTGAAAACTACTTAAATGTACTCACATTTATAAAGGCAGCTATAAAAGAATGAATGAAGCTAGGTACAGTGGCACAGCCTGGAATCCCAGCCATTAAGGAAGCTGAGGCAGAAAGATTACAAGTTCAAGGTCAGCCTCAGAAACTAAAAATGAAAGAATGAAGATCTCTTGGGGTGGGTTGTGGCTCAGCGACAGAGCGCTTGCCTAGCACGTGTGAGGCCATGGGTTCAATCCTCAGCACCACATAACCACATAAAAATAAATAAATAAAATAAAGCTGTTTTAAAAAAAAATCTCTTGTAACTGCCACGGAATAATTTCTAAGCTATAACATTAACCAAAGTACAAAAAAAAATCACAAAAATATGATATATTTGGTATGAGAAGGGAGAAATGAGAAAATATTCACATATCTGCTTACTTTTTCAATAGGAAACATGAGCTAGAAACAAATAAATTGGATGAAGGGGGTTTTCTACTGGCCAGATTTGGGACAAAGGATAGATCAATCAATAGAGTAGAAGAAAATGTTCTTTCTTACACTAATAAATGTTTATGAAATGACAGGTTAGAAAACCACTGTTATTATTAAGCAATATCCTTTCAAGCAAAAATCATCAACTGCTAAAAAGTGTAAAAGAAATAGTATCCTTAACAGTAACTCCTATATCAAAATTTAAAACTTCTGAGCATCAAAGGATACAATCAATAGGGTAAAAAGGCAGCCCATAGAATGTGAGAAAATATTTGTAAATCAAACATCTGATAAGGAATTAATATCCAGAACATATAAAGAATTCCTCAAGCTGGCTGCAGTGGCACACGCCTGTAATCCCAGCGGCTTGGGAGGCTGAGACAGGAGGATCATGAGTTGAAAGCCAGCCTCAGCAAAAGTGAGGCACTAACCAATGCATCTCTAAATAAAATATCTCTAAATAAAATACAAAATAGGGGTGGGTATGTGGCTCAGTGTCCGAATGCCCCTAAATTCAATTCCCAGTACCCACCCCCCCAACACGAATTTCTGTATTAGGGTATGTAGAACATACCTGTGATCCCAGCAACTCAGGAAGCTGAGGCAGAAGAATTGCCAGTTTGAGGCCAGCTCAGCAACTTAGTGAGACACTGCCTCAAAATTAGGGGAAAAAAAAAAAGGACTGGGGATATGGCTCAATGGTACAATACTTGCCTAACAAGTACAAGGCCCTGTGTTCAATCCCCAGAATTGCCAAAAGCAAAAAAAAAAAAAGCAACGAAAAATAAAAAATAGAAGGACTGGGAATGTAGCTCAGTGGTAGAGTGGCCCTGGGTTCAATACCCAGTACTCCTATAATTCCTATAAACTCCTATAATTTTAGTAAAAAACAACCCAAGTTAAAAAAATGGGCAAAGGACACAAATCAAAACCACAGTGAGGTTGATACCTCACAATATGACATGCATATTGTGCCCATTAGATAGCTACTATCAAAACAGCAGAAAATAAATATGTAAATATGTATATGAAGAATTTGGAACCCTTGTAGATACTTTGGTAAATAAGGTAGGGTTATTTTTTTTTTTTTGTGGGGGGTTGGGGGTGGTATGAGGCCAGGGGCACTCTACCAATAAGCTACAACTCTAGTTCTTCTTATTTTTTTATTTTAAGAAAGAGTCTCACTAAGTTTCCCAGGGCAGCCTCAAACTTGCAATCTTCCTGCTTCAGCTTCCAGAGTCAATGGAATTACAGCCATGTGCCATTACGCCTGTTAGTATGGTATTAAAAACTTTTTTTCAGGCTGGGGTTGTGGCTCAGAGGTAGAGCGCTTGCCTAGCATGCATGAGGCACTCGGTTCAATCCTCAGCACCACATAAAGTAAAAATAAAGATATTGTGTCCACCTATAACTAAATATATATATATTTAAATTTTTTTTTCAAATAATAATTACCATATGATCTAGCAATTTTACTTGTGGTTATATGCCCAAAAAAATTAAAAGCAGAATTTCAAAGTGACATATATATACCCATGTTCAGGGGAGGATTATTTTCAATAGCCAAAAAGTATTTATAACAGATAAAAAGCATGAGTAAAATGTGTTATATATGTATAATAGGATATTATTCAGCCTTGAAAAGGAAGGAAATTCCAACATATACTATAACATGAATAAACCTTGAGAACAACATGCTAATTGAAATAAGCAAGTTTCAAAAAGGCAAATACTGCATGTTTCCACTTACATGAAGTAAGAGTAGTCAAATTTATAGAGATAGGAGAATGGTGATTTCCAGGGGCAATGAAAAGTTATGGTTTAATAGACAAACTTTCAGTTTAGCAAGATAAAGAGGGTTTTGCAGATGGATGGTGGTGATGATTATATAACAATGTGAATCCACTTAATCCCAGTGGCTTGGGAGGCTGAGGCAAGAGGATCAAGAGTTTAAAGCCAGCATCAGCAATTTAGCAGGCCTTAAGCAAAACTTTTTTGTAAATCTGATATTACTTCAACATGAAAAGTTAAAAAAGATATACAAATTTACATTTATGTGAATTCTAATTTTAAGGTAGTAATAAAAGCAAAAGGAGACAGAACTGGGGTTGTAGCTCAACAGTTTAAAAAAAAAAAAAAAAGGACTGGGGATATGGCTCAGTGGTACAATACTTGCCTAACTAGCACATGTGACGCACTGGGTTCGATCATCAGTGCTACACAAAAAATAAATAAAATAAAGGTATTCTTCTGTCCATGGGGTGGGGGGAAGAGAGGGAGAGACAGACAGACAGACAGCTAAGTATAGCATTACAATAAAGTAATGTATGTCTTACCCCAGTAGTTGCCACAGGAAGTGGATTGGCTGTGTAAAGGCTTCTTTTTCCATCATAAACTGGTCTACGGTCTCCAAATATAGTTACTTTAAAATGCTGAACCATTGAGTCAACTACTTCCCTAAAGAAAGGAAAAATACATTCACATAAATCCTCTGCATGATGGAATACAAAAATATTAACTGAAATAATTGCTGGCACTGTTTAAAGCTTTCGCAATTCTAAAAGTCATTCATATATGATAAAAATTTTACCTTCAGAACCATGGCTTAGGATAGCAAAAAGATTGATTGCTGGCAAAGGATGACATGCATTTCTCAAAGACAGAAAAGAATGAATCCAGTAAACTACTTAATCATTCCAGGAAACAGCTGAACTGCAAAATATTCTCCTTAGAAACTAACTCAAATTCTCTTTCATCATCTGTAAGTACACCCTGACATGTTTACCTCTCTTTCTTAAGAGTAAAATGCTCTTTCTACTGGATTAAAATAGCACCTTGTACATACTTTTATTAGAACACTCAAGAATTTTGAAGGTAAAAACAAAACAACAACAAAAAAAAACACACAACCACATTTGTATTCCTCCCCCATGCTTACAATAATATCCGATCAGTAAGGATACTATGAAACCTCTATTTTTACACAGCAATTTTGAATCAATATACTGACATAGAAAGATATTCAAGGCTTACATTTTTTTAAAAAATTACAGACCACTGAGAATGATACCAAATATCCATAAATCAATATTTATTTTTGTATATACATATTCATAAGAGCAGTGAAAATATATCTAGGAAGATAAGTACCAAAGATATTCATTCAGTGGTTACCTCTGGCAAGGGAAATGACAGGGTCACAGGGTGACTTATTTTATGTACATAATCTACATATATTACAGTGAAAGTACACTTGCAGAATACGATTTAAAATAAAATTAAAGGGGGCTGGGGATGTGGCTCAAGCGGTAGCGCGCTCGCCTGGCATGCGTGCGGCCCGGGTTCGATCCTCAGCACCACATACAAACAAAGATGTTGTGTCCGCCGATAACTAAAAAATAAATATTAAAATTCTCTCTCTCTCTCTCCCTCTCTCTTTAAAAAAAAATAAATAAAATAAATAAAATTAAAGAGCTGGGGGTGTGACTTGGTAGTAGAGTACTTGCCTCACCATGCACAAGGCACAGGGTTCTACCACTAGCATGGCAAAACACAAACGAAGATTCAAATCTAACCCAAGCAAGGGAGAAGAGACAGAAATTAGCATTTTCCAGGAAAAGAAAAATCAATCCGACTTAATATCAAGAACAATTTTCTCCCCACACAAAATTTCTATTCCCTTCCTTTTCAATTTTGTTTACTGAAATTTCTATTTCCCTCCTTTTCTAATTTTGTTTTACTGAAACTATTTAAATCAAGATCAAGTCTTTCTAGGGTAAGTCTGACAACAGACTTGACTGGTTTTAGATTCAAAACAAATTTCAATGATTTTCTTCCATTTTGTTTTCTTCTGTGGCCATTATAACTAAGTCCAGTTTTTTCAGGTGAAATTATACAGATGTAATTTGCCAGGATGTCTTCACTATTTTGACTTTTTTTTTTTTTACTCAACATTAAAAGTTGTAAGCTTATCAACTCCTGGCAACTCAGTCAAACCATCTAAGGATCAAAATGGTAGAGGAAACTGAAACGGTAGGGCTAAAACATTTCAGGGGTTAAAAAATACCTTGCTTTGATGCCGAGCACATAGTATGTCCTAAATAAATGTCCTAACGGTGGATAATATACTTGAATGAACTGCCAGAACTTTCAGTGGAATATATCTAAAGCTAAATCTAACATATCTCCCACAAGTTAAATTTGGTTATGTTTTGTTATACTGTTTACTTAATGATGCCTCCATCTTCCTAGTTACCCACATTCAAAACCTGGCTCATCTGTTTACCCAATTAGTTGATGATTTCACCTCTTGCAATATTTCTTATACCAGTCCTTTCTCTTCCATTCCCAATTAAGAACTTGGGTCCTAGTACTTGGATTATTTTAAGTTTCTTGGTTTTTATGTGTTTAGCTTTTTCTTCTCCAACCCAATTTACACATCACTGACTAAAAAGTCCTACATTCTATGTACAAGAGGCCGATTAATCATATTTCTCAGTTTGTGGCACATTAAAATCATTTATATAAGAACCCCCCTTTTTTGTTTAAGGAACGGGAATTGAAACCAGGGGTACTCACTCCCCCACTGAACTATATCCCCAACCCTTTTAAGTTTTTAAATTTTGAGACAGGGTGAAGCAAAGTTACGCAGGCTGGCTCTGAATTTGCAATCCTCCTGCCTCAGCCTCCAGAGAAGCTGGGATTACAAGTATGCACCACCATGTCTAACAAGATCCCTTTTACAATTAATTGATTTCTTTCCTTCAATCTCCATTTCCTATTCCCATTCTTCTTCCTAACAAGTTACTCCTTCTAATGTGCTTGATGAACACTTCCCTGTTTGTATGTATTCTAATCTTTACCTTCAGCAATAGATTTTAAAAATCCATTAATGTTGCTGCAGCATGTTTTGTTCATTCTTTTTTAAAAAATTATTTATTATTTGGACTGATGATGTAGCTCTGTGGAAAGGAGGTTGCCTAGCATACCCAATACCCTGGTTTGATCCCCAGCAACACCACTCCCCTCAAAATCAAAAGCTTTATCAGTGAAAAACAGTTGTAAACAATTTAAATGTCACTTAATTCACTGTTTTTGATTGATGTGAAGTAATACACATATGATCTATCCACTCCTCTAGCAAGTAGAGTCAGAGTACCTTTAACTGCAGGCACCCAAACAATGCTGCAATGCATTACTTTCTTACATATACCTCATGAACCTGTGTGAGAACAGAGAACTAATCTCTATTTGCATATTCAGAAAACAGACTGTGGGTCAAAATGAAGTTTATCAAATAAATGATGAAGTGTTAAACTGCTCTCCAGATCGCTACACTAATATACACACCTTTGATGTTACCATTTCCTGTGTCCCAGCCAAGATTTGGCATTATCCAGCTTTGATTTCTAACATGTGTTCTAGCCTAATGGACATAAATTAAAACATTGTTTTAATTTAGATTTTTCTTATTACTGATGAATTGCAGCATCCTTCATGTGTCTTGTACAAATTCTCTGTTTCCTTTGCCTATGTTTCTGTCTTGTTGGATTGAAGGAGTTCTATTTATATTTTAAATATTAATTCATAGACAGGTTTAGTTATTTGTAAATATATCTTCACCCATAATTTAAACTATCCATTAACAATATCCATGTATCTGTGAGCTGGAACCTGTAATTCTGTATCATCATATTAATCATTTTTTTCATCTTATGGTTTCATGATATTGAGGTACTACTGATTAAAGAACTGCTTTCCTAAAGGCTGAACACCACTTATCTGAAATGCCTAGAACCATAAGTATTTCAGATTTCAGATTTTGGAATCTTTACAAATACATAACAAGATATATTGGAGGTGGGATCCAAAGCTAAACATAAAATTCATTTACATTTCATGTATACCTTATACACATAAACTGAAGGTAATTCACATATTACTATTAATAATTTTGTGCATACAACTAAGTTTCTTGGTTTGGCATTTTCTATTTGTGGCATCATGTTGGTACTTAAAAAGCTCCAAATTTGGACACATTCTGGATTTTTAGACTAGGGATGCTAAACCTGTATTAAGTTACAAGATAACTTATGTTTTATTAACTTTATAGTTTTATCTATACTATTTTGCCATTAATCCATGTGAGGTTCTTCTTTATAAAGAGTAATTAGCCAATTTTACTTTTCTCCATAGAGTGAGCCAGTTTTCCCATACCATCTACTAAACAGTTAATACTTCACCAATATTTTTTTGGTACTAAGGACTGAACCCAGGAGTGCTCATCCACTGAGCCACATCACATCCCCAGCCCATTTTATATTTTGTTTAGAGATAGGGTCTCACTGAGTTGGCTAAGCGCCTCACTAAGTTGTTGAGGCTGGTTTTGAACTTGCGATCCTCCTGCCTCAGCCTCCCCAGCCACCACAGTGCCAGGATGTGATGGCATTTTTATCTTACTAAATTTTCATGTGAGTGGCTGTATTGTTCCAGTGGTCTATTTGTCTGTTCTTGTGCCAATACCATAAGTTTTCCCTTTTACTAGGGTGCTTTATCATGTTGTCTGGTTGGGCAGAGCAAGTTCCTTTATTTGTTCTAAGTTAACTTAAACTTTCATGAATATATTTATTTTCCAATAATTTTCTACCCTTGAAAACTGTCAATACTGAAAGAAAACATATCTAGTCCCCTACATAAAGCAAATAATCAAATATCTGTTGGCTAAGATACCCCCAAATGACTTCCTTGAGAGACATGAAAAACATGCTAAAAACATAAATTAGTGTGTTATAAGGTTCTGACAAGCTACATCAATGAACTAAATGAAGAAACACAGTAAGAGCAACTATACTATCGAAACACTTTTATGTTTGAAAACTTCGATTGCAATAAGAACAAATTAGATCTAATTTACCTAATGCTCTTGAGAAAAGAGGATTTACATGACTACAAGTCCAAAATGAGCTAATAGTGTAATGTGGCCTCCTCAAACTTAAAGAAACCAGGTTGCATATATTTAAAGTACCCAGATAATAAGACAAATATTACATAATCATTTTATATTTTGGAGTACTCAGTTCAATCTGGGAAATTTTTTAAACCCTAAACATTGAAACATAGCTAGAAGGTGGCAATTCTGATAGAAGATCATATGATATGATTAAAAATAAATCAAATTAGGAACTTTTAGTCTGGAATAGGAAAGACAAAATTATGAAGTTTGGCTATTTCAATGAAATATGAGATGCAAAACTAGGCAGAAATCTATCTTGTATGAGAGGACAGGGTTAGGAAGTTGTTGAAAAAATTTACGAAGCTAAATTTTGGAACAAAAATTTCCAGTTTTCTAACCATCATAGTTATTCAAAAGTAGATTATATTACCTTATGAAATACCTTAGTTCGTCCTTGCTAGAACCATTCAAAAACCATCTATATAATCAATTGTTGGGGAAGATA